ATGAGAGCTGGAGCAGTGGGAAGGGGCTTCATGGAATAGGGGCATCTAGAGCATAGTGAACAAAAATCTCTGAGTGTGGGGGAGGCAGGAAGGCAGGGTGAGGAGTTCAGAGCAGGGGATAGAAACTGGACTATATAATGGGACAGACCGTAAAGAGAAACTGGAGTTAAATAAGCTACCATTTGTTGAATGTCTACTGTATGGCACTTGCTATGCCAGGCACTTTCTATCTGTTATTTCATTTTATCTTCCCAACAAGTGTGGTAATGCCCTGGCTGGGTGGCTCAGTTGTTTGGAACATCATCACGTACACCAAAGGGTTGCAGTTTTGATTCCCAGTCAGAGCACATACCTAGGTTTCAACCTAGGTTTCAGGTTCAATCCCCAGTCAGAGAGTGTATGGGAAGCAACCAACTAGTATTTCTCTCTCTCTCTCTCTCTCTCTCTCTCTCTCTCTCTCTCTCTCTCTCTCTCTCTCTCTCTCTCTCTCCTAACTCCATCTCTAGAATCAATAAACATATCCTCAGGTGAGGATTTTTTAAAAGAGTATTAGTATCTTTATTTCCATTTTGCATATGGGAAACTGAGGTACTTATATGAATGTAGACTTGATCTGTTGGCCAGTGAGAAGTCTCTGTCAGTGGCCAAAATGGGGAGTAACTTGATGGTAATGAGGATGAAGTAAGAGTGACTTGGCCATGGAATCCAGGAGGCTGGAGAACATTGTCCACCCACCACTTAAGAGATCAAGAGGAGAGATGACCCAAGATCCCCCTAAATGTCTTTGAGAAACTGGGTAACGCTCTCTGACCTGGGGATTCACCCTCCTGACTCAGGTGCACTAAAATTAGCCTTTGCCCCAAGGGCGTTTCTCCATACCAGGTGTCAGCCCTGTCCCACTCTCCTTTCGCTGATGCTCAGCTTCACCATCTGTCAGCAAGAACACTCTTTCCTGGCCAGGTGATTGGATGAGACAATTCATCATCACTAACTGTTAAGGAGGCCAACGAGGTGTTACCATCACAGCTACCCAAACTGCGGCTATGACTAATCTAGCAGTGTCAGAGACTCAGAAAGCATTAAAAATTATTACAATTATTTTTCCAGCCTTATTTTTTTCTCTTTTTGAGGTTCTAGGCATAAGATGAAGAGTGCCAGGAAGGTCCAACCTTTCCTAAAACTGAGAGGATGTGCCATTTTGTTCGGCCTCCCACTCAGCTTGGGGTAGGTGAGGGGAGTGCCCACAGGGGTCCTATTTGACTCTCCAAGCAGCATCTTGATGAAGATCCGAGCATCACTGAGCATTCTGGAGGCTGGGGTGAGTCAGGCCAGAAGGCAGAATCAGAGACATTCTACAAGACTGTAGTCCTGAGGCGTGCGGTCGGGGAATCCCTCAAGGGAACCGGACCATGCTGACCCAAGCCGGCTGAAGGAAAACCCTGTCTTGCTACATGACGCCTGATTCATGGCTTTTGCCGCCTGGGACTTGGCTCACGTGCTGTCCCTGACACAGCCATTCCCAGCTACCTAAAATTATTTTTAAAATACCCACCCCCCAAATTCCTCAGACAGCAAACTCTACCTGAGATGGAGATACTAGAGTGTCAAACACTCTAAAAGTCTCCTACAGAAAGCCTGGTCAGGATCTGGCTCCAGGACACCCCTGGTGACTGCCAGAGGCCTACATGGGCACTCCACAAACACAGGCACAACTCCAACACTTCCAGTCCACTCCATAATGGACCCTGAATTCCCTTCATTCCTCTGTTCCTAGGACGCAAACCATTCCCAGCAGAGGAACAGAAAAAAAGACAAGGAAACTAACATTTATGATGTACTTTCTATGGGCTGGACACCATCTGGTGAACTTTAAATTCTTCGTTTTAGCTCATCATCACACAGCCCTATGAAATGTACCATTGTGATTCTTAACTGGAAAGAAAAAATTGTCCAAGAAGAAAATTTCACCCATCAGAGCTTTCAGGGCTGGAATTAGGACCAAAGTGTCTTTGATTTTAAAGCCCATGGTTTTCAAACATGCCACTGGCTACCCCATAACTCTGTCTATTAAGGGACAACAGAGGGTGACCTCTGCAGCCACCCTGTGTAGGTTTAAATCCTGGTTCTGGCACTTACCAAGTTATGTGTGCTTGGATTGGACACCTCGCCTCTCTGGCACACAGTTCACCAACTGTAAACTGGACTGATGGAAGAGGCAAAATCAATTATATGGATCTATATTAGGATCGTTGCAAAGATTATAGGGATTAATATATGTACATCGTTTAGAACAGTGCCCAATACATTCCAAGGGTTAGCTCTAGTTTTGTGTCTGTTATTTATTTTAAAGGTGACATGATACTTATAGCAGGCTCAATCCTGAAAACAGTTATTAAAAAGACAGGCAATATGAATGTGCCAAACCCAAAAGGGACAATGAGGGCAATCCTGCTTTTGTCATTACCCAGTTTTTCCTAGGATGGCTCTGTCTGAGAATACACACCACTGCTAACTAAACACAGCCTTTAACATGATACAGAGGGGGCCAAGGCCACAGCCAGGTTGGGATTAGGGAAGGAGGAGATGGTCTAAGAAATTCAGACTCGCCCCAGACTCAGGGACACCCCACCACATTTATTTGGGGAGTGGGTGGGAATTTGGTTTGTTGTATATTATTTCCAGGTTGAGCTTTTCTGCTCTCTCCCAGGCTTCTCAGAAGCTTAGAACAAAGAAAAGGTGTCTCAAACTCAGCCTTTTGAAGCCACAGATGTTACCAGGATGGGGCAATTCCAGAGAAGCAGGTATGTGCTTATGACTGACACTATTCATCTTTCATAAGGAGAAGGTCTCTTATACCATATAACATTATATCAGTTTCAGGTGTACAATAAGAGGATACATCCAACCAGTGCAGGAAGGTCCAGGGCCTACACCCACCTTTCCATCAAAGGCACACACCACACACATAAGAACACTTGAAGTTAGACACCCTATTTTCAATATTACCATGAAAACTCTGAGTTTTACTGGGAAGGTGAGAAAATTCAGTTATAACCTATTTTTTGGTGTTCAGTTGGTCAGTTACCTTTAAGAAAATGGGGTTTTTGTTGGGGGAGGAGATGGGAGCACCTGGTCAGGGTGAAGGAGTGAAGCTGTTGGTAGAGGAAACCACACTGAAGTTATGGAAACCAAGAGAGATGGTGAAAGGTCTCTAGAGGGCACAGGGAGAGATGGGGCTGGGCACAGTGTGCAGAGAACTAAAGTCAAAATTAGGCACACTTTGGGTACACCCAGCAGCAGGGCCCAGCCCTGCCCTAATAATGAACAAATCATGTTCATTGATTCATTCTCTCTATCCAGTCTACAGTTGTCCCAGAAAAAAAATCTCCTTCCCAAAAAATAAGTGGAAGAGGTCACTCTGGTCCTTTAATTGGCATCTGATTATTGGTGGATGTGGCAGGCACTGTTCATCTTTCCTATAATAATCAGCAGATGAGATAGACATCAGACTAGCACTGGGGAAGCTCTCCGGCCCACAAACGCCTCAAACTCAAGAGAGTATAACTTAGCAAGAAGAAATGAGGAAAGATATCAAATGTCATCTATCAAGTCATCCTAAACTTTCCAGGCTGTGTTCTAAAAGAAACCCCTATGGAATCTAGAATCTCGCCTCTGTCCTAACCACTCTGCCTTCAGGCTGTAGGCACATGCTAAGGGGATTCTGAAGATGATGAAACCCTAACTCCTTTCCAGCAAGCACCTCCTACTGCTTCTGCCCCAGCTGGTCTGGTAGTATTGGGGAGGGAGAGAAGGTGGAGGAGGGGATGAGGTGTCAGAGACCAGAGTGAACCCTCAGACACCTGCCAGAGCCTTAAACCTGCGTCAGAGTCTGTCTCCATCGAAAGGAAAGAAAGCAAGTGTGCCACAACCAAATCACAGTAGCCAGAGTGGAAAATACAGCTCTGACACGGGCCGTTGGCTATGGGGAAAATTCTACTGATGAACCATATTGAGACACATATTATTTATCTTCTATGGTTGCCAAGCTTGGGTTTCTGTTTCTTCCCTCTTTCTACTTGGGGGGTGGCAGGCACTTTCATTTCATTGAAATGGAGGGGCTGCTGTTACCTGTCCTTAGGCAAGCCACAATTAGAGGAAGAGACTGAATACTAGCAGCGACTGGAATTTCATGGGGCTCAGGTTTTCTTCTGGGACACTGAGAGGATGGGCGTGGAGAGGACCACACCATTATTACGTCAGTTTGTGAGATATAATTAACATATAACATTATATCAGTTTTGGGTGTAATGACATATTTTAACCTTCTAAAAATTATTGAAGCCACACTGTTCATCTTTTTTTTTATCCTTTTTTTTCATTGCTTTTAGAAAGAGAAGAGGGAATAGAAAGAAACATTTACGTGAGAGGAACATCAATTGCTGGTCTGCCATTCGTACCTGCACTAGGGATTGAACCTACAGCCCAGGTATGTGCCCTGAAAGGGAATCAAACCTGCAATCCTTTAGTTACAGGACGATGATCCAACTACAGAGCCACACCAGCCAGAGCCACATTGTTCATCTTGGTATGGTGCTTTGGGTAAAGAAATGAACTGATTAGCAGAAGACCAAAATTCTAATTTCTAGTCTGCCATTCAGGCAAGTTCTTTAAAGACACTGGATTTTAATTTCCTTAACTATGAAATAAGAGGATCAATATGGAACTAAACTGGAAAATAAACTCCAAAATTCCTCCTCACTCTAATAACTCTAAGTTCTTGGCGTCGAGTCCTAACCCTACACATTCTACTACCTAAATTTAAGCACCCAGCTAACCACTCTAAGCCTCAGTTTCTTTGTCTGTAAAACCACAATAAGAATTCTGGCCTTCTTGTCTCTTAGGGTGATTGGGAGAAATGAATGACACATGTGAGAGTACTTTGTGAGCTTTGACACCTGGGACACATAAAAATTGTTTGTATAATTTCTACTTACCAAGACAAGGCAAGAAGATTTTGATTATCTGAAACTCCTGGTGTTCCATGAAGTTAGCAACAGGCTCAAGAAAGAGAGAGGGTTTGTTGGAATAAAAAAGAAAATTCTGACCACTAGGATCATTAGACATCATGGAATCTTTTCAAAAAGGCTTCTGGAAAAGAATAGACAAGAATTGATCCCAGATTGTTTAGTCATGTCTTGTAAGCAAGAACCTAGATCAAATGACTCCTACTTAGCTTCTTGTGTTAAATTTTTTAAGCCTCCTGTGTAAGGGTTAAAGTGGGAAGATTCATAGATTATTGCCCTTTGGGTTTAAATGGGACCCTTTCCTAGGTCTAAGGCTTACTGAAATCTACGGCGGCTTCCTGAAAGATGCTTTCAGAGGATGTGAGTGAATGGCAATGTTTTCTGAAGCAATGGATTGGGGAAAATGGGTGGAGTGGGTTGCAAATAAGGTTTAGAAGCAATGTGGAGAAATAGTTTTGTAGTTTCTAAAAAAAGTTCAATGAGCAAGTATGGTGGTTTTGAGAAAATTCTTAAGAAGAATTTACACATATAAGAAAGTAAACATATAGGGTTTTTTCCCTCACTTGAAGACATTTTTCATTGGTTTTACAAAGAAAAGAAAGGAGAGAGAGAGGTACATCAGTATGAGAGAGAAACATTGATTGATTGCCTCTTGTACGCACCCCAACAGAGGATCGACTGGGGATAGAACTCCTAAGTTTTCAGTTTACAGGACAACATTCCAGCCAACGAAGCCACACTGGCCAGGGCACATATAGGTCTTTTAAATGTGTAAGTTTGGGAGTCAAATCTGCTTCAACCACTAATAACTGTATGAGTTGGGTGAGTTACTTGAACCTTATTTAACTCTTCTGTAAAATAGAGTCAATAATTGTATAAACTATTGAGGTTGTTGTAAAACTTAAAGTGAAATAATGTAAAGTGCCTAGAACATAGTAAGAGATCAGAGAGGTAAAGGAAAACCAATTAAGCCAGGGAGTACTTGGGTCTGGGCATGAGCAGGGGTTCATGGACTCTAGCCTTGGGTCAGACCTTGTCAAGTCCATGGAACACAGTAGGCACACACTATATGGTAGCAAATAGCTGGCATAGGTTAGTCATAGAAGAGCTGTAAAGAGTCACATACCTCCCCACATACACAAGCACACACTCACACAACAGATCATTGCTTAAGTTAGCATCTTCAGATTGAGAAGATGAATAAGAGGTCTGCATACCAGTGTGTTTTCCCAGCCTTGTCACAGGAAGGAAGGAAGGTCTGCTGGGTCCCATGAATCCTGAGCAGAGGGGGATTTTAGAAGGAAGATTTCTGAAAAACTTAGATCCCATGCTGTAAGATGATTGGATGAAAGGATAGTGAGGCCTGCCAGACAGCACCACACGGGACAGTGGGAAGAATAGAGCCCGGGGAAAAAATGTGGCTTAGTGGTTTGTGGCATGGTTAGCAAGCAGAAAGTCCTGGATCCTACTCCTTCTTCTGGTTCTAGGAAAAGCCACCAGGGCCTCCATGCCTAAGTCAAGAAAAGACCACAAAGGAGCTAACTCTTTCATGCCATCAGCTATTTTGTGGCCTTAAAGCATTTCAACCTATTGACAAGCCTCTCTGATCATCTGCAAGGGAGGAAAAAGAAGTGAGGAGTCCCCATTTCACAGAGACAGAAAGCTTAGGCTCCCTGAAGGTGAAACACATCCTAATAATCACACAGAAAAAAAGACTAAAACTAAAACAGGTCTCCTTTTCCTGGGCCCAGATCTCTACCATCTGAGAATCTTAAACCTATATGGTAGCCAAAATGAATAAAATGTTCACACAAAGTCAGACTGTGTCTCTTCTTTCTCCCTAGCATATGTTAAGCATAGGTCCAGTCCCCAAAGATGAAACACACACACATGCACGACGTGTATGCACATACACAAATACATACTCAGAAAAAGATGCTTCACAACTCTAGGTGGTGCCCACCGAGTGCAGCCAAGTATAGTCGTAAGCACTGGAGGATTTTTAAAAAAAGAGAAAGAAAACTTAGTGATATCAGATTGGTAAACAAAGGCTCACAGGAGAGGTGGCACTGAAGAGTTCTGTTGGATGGAAGGGAAGAGGGTGAATGCAGTCATTTCAGGCCAATGAAGCCAAGTGGAAGCGAGAAGTTGGAAGAGAACAGGGCATCATCTGACAACAGGTGAGAGCCCCAAGTTGGCCAGAGACCTTGTGTAGAAATTTTGTGGGACAGAAGGCTGCAAAGGTATTTGGGAGTATGAATGCAAAGCTTGGGTTCTGTTGAGGGCACTGGGCAGCCATTCAAGTTTCATGCACGTGGTGGGTTGGTGATGAAACTGGTGCATTCAGAAGACAGACGAACCTGTGGTCTAGAAAAATCTGAACTGGTTGCAAGATGCATTCTAGCCCTGGCTGGTGTGGCTCACTTCGTTGGAGCATTGTCCCATAAACTGAAAAGTCGGGAGTTTGATTCCCAGTCAGCACACATGGCTGGATTGCCGGTTCATTCCCCAGTTGGGGACCATATATGAGGTCGCTGTCTGTGGCATTAACAAGAAGCAACTGATTGATGTTTCTCTCCCTGTCTCTCTCCTTCCTTTCCCTTCTCTCTGAAATTAATAAGTGTGTCCTTGGGTGAGGATAAAAAAAACTATGCATCCATTTGCTGGCTGCCTGGGGTTGAAGGGAACAACCACATAAAGAATTAAGTTTATTGTTCTTATAATGGTAATGGTAGTAACTACCAGCAACAGCTGAACCTCCACTGGCCCTTAACTAGGCTAGGACAAAAAGATCAAGGGACTACAGTGGAGTCGATATGAAGAACTTGACACCCTTCACACCATTTCTGAAGACCCAGATCTCTGTTGCACTGACTCCAGCGGGCCTCAACCTCAACATTCTTGTCACTACAGCCTATATGAGAGCGAGCTCTGGCTCTATGCGGCCTCCTACTGAAACCCAGCTCCTCCCCCTCCCCTCCAGTTTACTCTAAAGCCCTCTGATTTCAGATGAAATGAAACAGAAGCCTCTGCTGTAGTCATAGTGACCAGAAGCTCCTGCATGTTGCTCCCCATTTCATCTGCCTTCATCAAGGTCCCTGCCTTATTGGTCCCCTGTAGCCTCACCCCCACAGGAAGGACTCAGTGGTGATCTCAACTCTTCCTCCACTTGCACCACTCTTTGGATGTTCAAAGTTGTTACAGGAGGATCAGAAGGGAAAGCGAAATTATAGTATCAATAGTCATAGCTGTTCTGATAGTAGTGGCTGTGGTAGTTATAGAAACTGTAGTATAGTTATATAGTATAAGAAACACATTTCCAGGTAATAATCATTGAGTACTCACCATGGGCCAGACACTGTGACATGCATTTAATCCTGTTTTCTGTTCATCACCAGGAGATGGGTAGGAGTACTTATTCCATCTCACACATAGATAGGGTTTCTTTGGTGGAGGTGCACATGGGGTTCTGGATTCCAGTGGCAGAGCTGCAACAAAGGCCAGTTTTCCCACGACACCAGCTAAGGATGCCCTATTCTCCCTCCCCTTCCACTACCAGCCCCGAGTCCCTATCCCCCACTTCTTCACAACACACAGCTGAATCTTGCAGCCCCCTTGACTAGATACACGTTTGTACACTGCAGTGCAGGTAGCTTCAACCTGCACACAGATGGTTGTGAGTCACTTTTCTGGAACCTGAAATAATGTCACCATAGAAGTTCATTTTATAAATGCTGGTTTTTCCTAATTACGATTTAACTGAGTTATGCTATAAATAGCAGCAAACTCATTCAGATTCCTGGGAGATGAGGTCCACAAGATTTACAAAGGAGAGTTTCTTTCTCCTACTGGACATATGACCTGCCTTAGGCAACATTTGAAATAGACAAAGCTGTCTTGGATTACCACCTATCACTCTCTACTCCCTCTCCCTGAGACCCCTCTCTGAGAAGTTCTTATCTACTTTCCCCTCTGAGGAGACCTTCCCCCACCCCACTGAAACCCCTGCCTTCTGCCAGGCTTGACATACTCTCCTTCCCAGCTGTCTCAGCTCATGACCAGCCCACCATGGAACTTAGCCTCTGGGGTCAGCACATCTAAGGGGCTGCTGCTTCTTCCTCATTGATTCTTCAGCAACTCTGAATCAGAGCTCAATGGCTCACTAGACGTTACTGGCTACTTCATCAAGGATTTCTCAGAAGCAAAATCCTGAGGTAAGGCGTTCCTTAGCTCAGAAGGGTAAAAATGAAGCAATAGATGCCCCTCTCAGCTATAGAAAACAGGCATTTTTAAATTGGGGCTTCCTCCTGGGCACTGGCCTGCCTTGCAGCAGACATCAAAACAACACAGACATTTTACCACATGGTGTGGATCATTTCTTAAGAAATGAAGGCCCTTCTGAAAGAGATGTGAAGCGATCTCTAGGGCTTTCCAGTAATATTCTTTCCTCCCAGAGACAGTCAATGTGAGAAATCCACTTCCGGAAGGTGATCACCTCCCTCCCACACCCCGCCACCCCCAGGCCTGTGCTCTTGAGGAAAAGGCAGCATCACGTCCTCCTAGCAAGCGGAGGCCCTCTGATTTCCACTGCTCTCAGCAGGCCTGACTCACAATGAAACTGCAACCTCAAGAACATGAGGGGCCAGGATTGCAAGAAGGAAATACAGGTGAACACACGCAAACTGCCTGAGGAAAAGGTTTTGTTCCTCTTACAGAATGGCATTTCAGCTGGGCAGAAGTTGTGAACTGGAAGTGACTGAAGGAGCCTGCAGTCATGCTGACCTAGTGGATTTGGCAGAGAGGGAAAGTATGCATCAGAACCACACGTACCACCTAAGTTCTGCCAAAGAGAACAGATGGGGCAGGGTTGGGAGAGGAATTAGGGGAATAGCAAAAGTCTGGGATGTTAGATTTGGAAAGTATCTTAGAAAAGTAACTGTCAAATCTCCCCCTTGCACATGCAAAAAGGAAGGCTGAAAGATGGGAAAGAATGTTTTCAGGATCTCACAGTGGAAGGTCCAAGGCTGGTTACTGTTATTCTAGACACCTAAGCCAGAGCTCTTTCTACTGTAGGATTGACCACACCCCCACTTGCCCTGGCCTCCTGCAACATCCTCAGAATATTGGGGTTGAGATCCTGTTGTGTTCCAAGTCTTCAGGTCCACAAAGAGATACATCCAGTTCTATAGCAGCTGAGCATTACCACACAAAAGTATTAGCAACCACAACTCAGATGTGTTGACAGCTTGTTATGGGCCAGGCACTCACCTAAGCATCCGTGGGCATTCCATTCTGTCCCTACAGCAACAGCAGGAGTCATTAGCTCCAGCCATAGACACTCCATCATAGGAGTGTTCAGAAAATTGTCCAAGGTCACACCAGTGGTGAGGGGCAGAGCTGGGCTGCAAATTTAGTCTGAACCTAGGGCCCACACATTTAACCACCACACTCATCTGCAAAGATCAGCCCCAAAGCAGGGCACATGGTATGCTTTGCAGTAAGTGAACACTTGGACCCAGAGGGGTGAGTATTGGCAAAGTGGGGAAGATGAGTGCTTTGCTATCAGAGATCTAGTCTTTGCTATCAAATGTCTATGAGGTCTGCCACAAAAGAGGCTTCAGTGCACAATTCTTAGCCACTCTTTCATGAAATCAATCAATCGACTTTTTAATACCAATTTATATCTAACCTCCTGCTTGATGCTTCTGACCTTACTACTAACAACAGTCCCAGATCACCCAAAAGCCAAGGTTCAAACAAATTCTCTTCAATTTTTTGAAAAACCAATATTTTTTAAAGCATTGATATAATCATCAAAAGTAGCCAAAACTTGTTGGACTTCCTTAAACTTATCTTATAGTTTAGTGGTGTGTTATTTTCAACTGCATTCAAAGCTTAAATCATTTTAGGGCCTCAAAGTTCTTAGTCCAGCTCTGGAATAAAAGAGATTCTGTTTCCACTCATTCCATAGGAAGTCTCCCACAGTCAAAAGGGTAACAGGGATCAAGGTTTAATACGACTACAAAATGTGTGGCCCAGTTTCTAAAACAGTACCCACCTTATCAGTGATTTCTAAACTAGCCAGATCAATAACAGCCCCTAACTACATATGCCACTCTATTTGGCATGAGGTGAGAAGAGAATAAAAAACAAATTGTACTAATTTGATTGGTTAAATCCTGGAAGTTGGACTGGGAAATGTCTAATTTTATTTCGTAGGTTATTCTGAAAACTGAGAAAGTACAAGCCTAACCAAAGAGAAAGCAGAGTTTTTTTAACTTTGTGTCAGAACTGAAGGAGAGAGAGAGAAATACAGAGAAGAATTAAAAGTGGAAGTGAAAAGTGGAACCCAAAATAAGCTTGCAGTAGAGTCCCTCCAATAGCCCTGTGCCGCCTGATCGCACACAGCACCTCAACCGGTCAGAAGCCAGGGGCCCCTTGGAGAAGGGGGTTTACAGTAATAGGTACAACATGGTACATCAGCCCCCAAAATCGCATGGTTTCTGACTTGAAACCACAAACACTGCGTGTGAGGAAGCACTTCAGCTTCCATGACATACTTGATGCACACAGGAGTTGCAGCACTTTAAGGACCGTACTGGCTATTTGGAAACTCTGAAAAAAGAAGACAGCAGTGAGGCACTAGGCTTCTTCTTTCTCCATGCAGACCAGGTGCCCTTGGCTGTATCCCTCACCCCTTCCTCTGAGGCCAAACTTTGATCACCCTCCTCTTACTTATCTGCACTCAGAGATTTTTGTTAAACATAAGTGTCACAACCACAACAACATATCACAACACACTGAATATAGAAGCAAATGTAAAAATACAAGCTCTTCTATTAAAGCAGATATTTACAGAGGTTTGGAACAAATTTCAATGTCACTCTTCTCACTAAATGTGTTCTGACTTGGAAAATATAGCTATTTCTCATAAAAATTGTTATTTGTGTTAACATTTAATGGGTCTTTAGTATTATTACTTCAAAATGTCATAAATAAGCATGTTTTTAATTTCTCTTGATAGATATAACTCACATAAGTAAAAGTTCCTCAACACTTTTCAAGAATGTAAAGAGTTCTGAACCCTAATGACTTAGAGAATCTAGGGCCACACTGGACATAGCAGCACTCTGCCACTCCCTCCCTGGGAGTTTACGACCTAAGGCTGGCATGTAAATGACATAATCACAGTAGAAGTAGCATGAGTCCAGAATGAAGGTGAGATCAGAGAAAGAAGATGACAAGTTTAGTCTCATATTCAGAATAAACTACATAAACTAGGGTGGTCCCAGGGCAATGAAAAGGTGAAGCTTGTTGTTCAAAAATTATAAAAATTTCAAGATAGTGGCAGCAGGGCAAGGGCAGAGATTTTCCAAGTGTGGGACTCTGTGTGAACACACAAGTCTCAGGATCACAAAGCCAGTGCTATTCAGACATGCTGAGTTTGAGGTGTCAGCCATCCAGAGAAGATTTGAGTAAACTCAATCCCATCAGACTAATGGTACTGGAGCCACTTGCACCCAGGTGCAGAAACCCACTGGCTATCCCAGGTTGTCATGCAAACAGAGCAAATCAGCTATAACCTCTGGGTAACAGGAGACCTCCAATGCCCGGTATCCTGGCTCCAGTAAACCAATGTCTCATATGACAAGTTACATACAGATCATGGTGTGCCCTAAGGAAAATCCAAATTGCTTGATTCTCCTCATTGCACAAAGGGGAATTCCACATTGGCTGTCCAGAGATCAGCCTTTCCGCTGTGGTTTACAGTGTCTGCCTCATCTGCCTGCCACGATCCTCGGAAGAGCACCCAGTCAGGTTTGCATACACTTTGCTTTACAGGGCCAAGGGGTCAACCCCAGTTCAGCTCCTTCAACCCACCAGGCCTTCATTATAAAGCACCCCAGGCACAAGACCAAAGTCAGAAGAGCCCAGAACAGGACTGGGGCACAGATCCCTGCCCTTTGGACCCCCTCCTGGCCACGCTTGGGGGTGTGATGCCAGACTTGGTGGATTGACCAGGCCTGTTGCAGCACGACCACTGAGGAAGTCTCTGATTGGGGAGCTACGAAAGGTTATTCAAGAGAATACTCGAAATTTCAAGCTGGGGAACTATTTGTATGCACTAGATGTCCTAGATAAGAAGAAATGAAAGTCCTACTATTAGCCCGCCATGAAGTAGTAACTCCTAATGGGTGAGCAGGAGCCAGTCCCCAAGGGGATTCTTCATCCGGACGGTGATCCCATTGCCCTAGGAAGCCACCATTCCACCTTCTCTGCCTGCAAAATGAACCTGTGTGTTCCCCCTCAAATGACCCTGTGAGCAGGTAAACTGGCTGAAGCCTGAGTCCAGCAAGCCCCGATTCCTTAGCCTTCCTTTCAAGGCTCCAGTGCAGACCACAGGACTTTCCCCACATTTGGGTCTGAGTTGCAGAATCGCTCAAGGGGCAGAGCAACTATACGAAGAAAGCTGTCATTTTGCTGAGGG